CTCCTTTTATACCCAAAGGAGGCACTAAAAGACAAAAAGACAAATCTTGGAGGCTAAGCTTCCTAAAACTAGTTACAAAGTAAAAATAGAGTAACTAAAAGTACAATAATCTAACAAGAGTTTTAACCACACATTCTAGCCATCTCCAGCTATTTACAGCTGTCTTCAACCAAGCACAAAAAGACAGCGTCTTAATCATTAAGCCCTCCAAAAAGCTGCACATCTATCAGATCGCCGCTGCACTAATGCTATAACATCCTGCTGTTTTAACAAAAACTCCCCATTAGCTTCATCCATGAGTACCAACAAGTCAACCACAATATTTAACTTCATAATAACAAATGTATAAAGAAACAAATAAAAATGACTCAAAGTGGGAATAAAAAGAAACTATTCTAACTAATAAGATGTAAAATGAGTGTTTTATGTGTTAAATTCTCAACACATATCATACCCCAAAACTTAAACTGTTGCTTGTCCCCAAGCAAGCAAAAGACAAACAAAAAGACTCAATTTACACAAAAATGCATGACCAAGGCATTAATTGCCTAACTAAAGAGAGTTATAGCAAACATGAAGTTCATTGCCTTTCATAAATCCAAGATGAGTCACTCAAAACCAAGTTTTTATGTGTGAACCATAGGCTAGAATTACCCTTTTCTTTGTTAAGCTCAAACACAATCACAATCACAATCTTAGGATCAATAGGGCTTATAGGGTTTACTCTCTTTGGCATTTCTTTTCTCTCATAGCCTTTTTTCTTATATACTCCACATATTAATTTTTTAAAATTTTTGGGCAATTTGGCCTTTTTTGCTTGGAGTGTGCACGTAGTTCCTAAGGGACTTTTGTTGTGCTTTTTCATAATATTTTCCAAAACACATAGCCCCTATGGGACTTTTGTTGTGTTTTTCCAAACCCTTTTTGTGATAAGGAGTCAATTTAGAGCTTTGCTCTTTTGTATTGACTTTTTGTCCTTATGTAAACTCTTCCCCCAAACTTAAATATGACAATGTCCTCATTGGAGATTTGTGGGGTAAACGGTGTTTAAAGGGTGCAAGTGCCTAATATGATCATAGAAAAGAAGGCCTATCTCATTTCCTAATGGTGATTGTGTGATCAAAGTGTTTTCCCAAAAAAGGGTTTTGCTAGTTCTAGCAAAAACAAAATACCTTGATTGAATGACAAGTAATCAATAAAATTATTTAGGCTATGATCTCATGTGCAACATACCTCAACTCAAGTGATCATGCATAAAAATTAAGACTAAAAACTAAAAAAAACTATTCCTGACTCAAAAAGTAAAATATGAAGCTAAAGAAAGTGGTTAGAACCTGCCCTACTCCAAAGGAGTAGGCTTTGAAGCTTGAGTTGCCATCTCCTTCTTCAACTTCTCATTCTCTTCAAACAGACTCTTATTATCCACCTTGATGGCCTTTAGAATGTTTTCACGAAAGTTGATGTTCTCACCTGTTATGAGACTAAACAAAAGCACCAACCTTTCTACAAAAATGGAGCTCTTATGATTAGTAGATGATAAATAATGTCTAATAAAGCTTATCCAAACATTCTTATCAGAGGACAAATTGGCAGCCTYAAAGGTTTTCAACATGAAATGAGTGTAAGGCTTCCAATCAGTCTCAGATATTCCAAGGAAAGTCATGATCTCAACCAAATATGCCTCAGAGGCCATGTGCAAGAGTGCATCATTCTCAGAATCTATGTGAGGTGAGAGACCGTATAATTTATTTACGGCCTTGTCAAAAGTAGACACCTTTCTTTGTGGCTCTATGGATGTGAAGTTTGTCATCTGGGATGATTTTATGTTGACAAAAAGAAGAACTAATCCCCTTTTGGTCGTCAATGATCAATCCCATAGCTTCTGTGTGCAACTTCAACATATCAACCAACTTTTTTTCTTGATGCAATTCTAGGGTAGATGATATGTTGACAGACAATTTGCCTTCTTCTCCTAAAAAAACATACTTCAAATAGGATGATAGTTGTTTCAACTCTAAGTCAGGTGGTGATACAATTGATGGGGTGAAGTCTTTCTGCTCACCATTTTCCAGCAGCTCAAATGCTACAACATCTAATATGACAACATCATATCCTACCGCCTCTAATTCTGCAACAGTCTCTTCCTCTATTACCTCGTCACTCTCTTCTTTCAACTTAAAGGTTTCCTGAATTCCTTCTTCATGACACATCTCCTCTATTTCAGCTATTCCTGAACACTCCTTCAAGTAATCAAGGTACTTTAGAGAGTTGAAGACATTAAATGTGACTTTTTGGTCCTGCAATCTCATAGTTAGCTCTCCTTTCTGGACATCTATCAAAGTTCTTCCGGTGGCTAGAAATGGTCTCCCTAAAATAATAGGAATGTCCTTATCGGCCTCAAAGTCTAAGATGATAAAATCTACCAGAAATATGAACTTGTCAACTTGCACTAAAACATCCTCAATCTTTCCCTTAGGGTATGCAATGGATTTGTTTGCCAATTGGAGTGTAACCGTGGTAGGTCTAGCCTCTCCTATGCCTAAAGTGTTGAAAACAGATAAAGGCATGAGGTTGATACTAGCACCTAAGTCACACAAAGCTTTCCGAATCTCTTTCCCACCTATAGAACAAGGAATAGTGAAACTTCCCGGGTCTTTAAGCTTAGGAGGTATCATGTTGGTCAAAAGTGCACTACATCCTTCAGTAAGAGCTACAGTTTCATACTCAGTTAACTTCTTCTTCTTATTTAGGATGTCCTTAAGAAACTTAGCATAACTAGGCATTTGCTCAATTGCCTCAACAAGTGGTATGTTGATGTGCAATTCTTTAAACACATCTAAGAACTTCTTAAAGTGCAGTTCCTCTTTCTGATTCCTCAACCTTTGGAGGTAAGGAACATAAGGAGGGACTAGTTTTATCACATTCTTGCTTGGATGTGTTGAGCCAAATGGGTCTTGAATGCATTGGGTCTTTGAGGTGCACTTTGGAGGTTCAGATGGAGTCTTAGCATCAAGCTTAGGGGTCTCTCAAACATCATTCTCTTCTGACTTTTTTAAAGTATCCTCAGGAAAGAGTAATGGATAGTCTGATCTTGGGGGGACAGAAGTGGTGGTCTCAAATGCTTGCTTCTCTAAAGGTTGGACCGGTCTTTCTTTGGCAGGGACCAATGCTGTAGCATCAATTTTTGACAAACTTGATGCACTAGCTTTTTGCACCTTTTCAGTCAATGCCTTCCCACTCTTAAGGGTCACTGCTTTCACATGTTCCTTTCCTAAGGCTCTCGGGACTTCTGTGTTACTAGGCAAAGTAGCAAGAACTCTATTGGTCTGATTGAGTACAAGTTGATTGACTTGGGTTTCCAGATTTCTGATAGCAACACTTTGTTGATTAAAAAGAGATTGATTTTGAGAGTTTTGTTGGGTTATCAAAACTTGATTTTGAGCTTGAGCATGCACAAATAACCCTTTTATCATTGCTTCCAAAGAAGATGATAAATCAGCCTGTGGAGGTGGCTTGTTTTGAAAAGGTGGTTGAACAGTTTGAAAATTTTGGTGATGATTTTGGGAACTACTGGCATGTTGTTGGGGTTGAAAATTAGAGGTTTCTTGCTGCTTAGGTGCGGGTGGATTTAAACATGGACTGTTCCAAGAAAAATTCGGGTGTTGTTTCCAACTTGCATTGTAATTGTTGGTATAAGGACCGGATCCATTATGAACAAAGTTTATGGATTCAGAATTATAAGAACAATGTTCATACGAGTGTTCCCCACCACAGCACACACATTGCACAGATAGGATTGTTGGAACAGGTGTATTAGCAGCTTGCTGTCCTCCCTGACCAGAAGTTAAAATTTTCAGCATGTTGGTCATGGAGGTGAGCTRAGCTGTTAATGCAGTATATGCATCTACATCATGTATCCCAACAGTCTTTTTCTGTGATGAGCATGTGGGTCGGCCTAATGGCCATTGTTGGCGGATATCTTTTCCAGGATTTGATATCCTTCATTATAGGTCATGGTTGTGAAGGCTCCGCCTGCAGTCGTATCGAGCATTTGTTTTTCCATGGGACTTAACCCAGTGTAAAACGTCTCGAGTTGAATATAATACAAAATGCCATGGTGTGGGAATTTCCTCAACAGCTTTTTGAACATTTCCCACGCATCAGGAATAGCCTCATCGTCCATTTGTTTAAAAAGACAGATTTCGTTCCTGGACTTAGCGTTCCTTGTTGGTGGGAAATATTTTCGCAAAAAAATTTCTGCCATGTTATTCCACGAAGGCACAGAATCCGGTGTTAAAGAGTTAAACCATACTTTTACCCGATCCCTCAATGAAAATGGAAATAAAGTGAGCCTTTGAGCGTCATTTGACACTTCCCGGATCAGAAAGCATCTGTGATTTCCATAAAAGATTTTAAGTGCGAATGTAAGTCCTCTGAAGGTAATTCGACAAATTGGCCATTCGTTTGCAACATGTGAAACATTATCGGTTTTAGTTCGAAATGGAGAGCGGTCATATGTGGTCTAACTATCCCGGAATTTAATTTCTCAAAATCCGGAATAACATAATCCATGATCCTTCAATTTTTGGATTTTGCCAAATTAATGATGTTCGGAGTTTGTGCTCTTTGTTGCTCATTATGTTATGATTCTATGTCCTCATTACCCAAATTATTGTTATTATGTGGGTGTCCTTGTTGAAAGTTCGAAAATGGTGGTATTGGTTCAAAAACCGGCAGTTGGTTTTCCAAATGCGGTATTTCCGGAATGATTGGGGGAGGTAACGCCATGTTCGGAGAGAGTAGAGCAAAAAATGCTCTTTGAGCCCTCCTTCTATGATGAAACGTTCTCTCAATATCGGGATCAAATTCGAAAAATTCCCCGCGACGTGTCCGTGGCATACACCACTTTTAAAACGATTCCAACGGTACTAGAAAAATCAAATCTTTTACTTTACTCAAAATAAAACTTTTAGCTTGCCAATCCCCGGCAGCGGCGCCAAAAACTTGGTGGGGTTATATTTCACACCTTTAGACTAATGAAATTGGGCCACAAAGCAAGTATACAATACGTCTCAATGTCGTCTTTCCAAGTAATAAAGTGGTACAAGTACCGGAATATCATCCACGGAGATTGTTGCCAAAGTTGAATTAGAGTCCAATGAAAGAGATGATTTCAGATGATGATTTTGAAGACTTTTGTTTGCTTGTTAAGGTGAATTAAAACAGATTACAGAATGTAAAAAGATAGCTAGGGTGTAAGACTTAAGGTGAGACCCANGATTTTGAAGACTTTTGTTTGCTTGTTAAGGTGAATTAAAACAGATTACAGAATGTAAAAAGATAGCTAGGGTGTAAGACTTAAGGTGAGACCCAAACACAATTTCCAGTAGCCAATGCTGTAGGAATGCTACAGCAAGCAGTGTTTCGAAACTAAGTTCCACCATATATTTTGAAGGCATTCCTCTCGGACTTCACCATTGCACTATATTATAGCTTTCCACCCATATCTCTATGTGGTGTCCGGACCAGGGATAGTGACAAGATGGTGTTTTCAAAATATATGGATAAACAAATCTCTTTGTTAAAAATCACTCTCTCGAGTCGATTCCCATATCATTCGAGTTGGCGTGAGTTCTTAGATAATTCATCTCTGAATCTATCGCACTTTGACACTTTCGAAGAGTGACCAACCCGTCGGGAGTTAAGTTTGAAAAACATAAATGACAAGTCTACTTGTCGGCAACTTTCTCAAGTCTACCTCTTATGTCATTCAAGTTGACGTGCATTCAATGGCTTATCTCTAAGTCCATGGCACTTTAACACTTTCAAAGTGATCAACCCGTCAAGAAGTGTGCTTGGTTTTTATAAAAACTCGAATGAAACAATGGAACGTCGTTTACGAAAACACTTAGCTACTTTCTTTTGGTTTGAAAATCTCACATTTCCGTCTCACACCCAAGCTATAAAAGCTTAGCTACTCATAACGGAAAGTAAATTACAAGAAAAATAAATGACGGAAAGTAAAGACATAAACGAAAATTGCGTAAAGTAAATGACGAGAAAATAATTAACGAGAATGTAAATGACGGGAATGTAGATTGCGAAAATTAAATAACGGAATGTAAATGACAATAAATGTAAAGGAACGTAAAATAAAGAGCGGAAAATAAAAGACGAGAATATTAAAGAAGAAAAAGATGAAGAACTCAAGAGATTACTAAAAATCACNAAAAGACAAATCTTGGAGGCTAAGCTTCCTAAAACTAGTTACAAAGTAAAAATAGAGTAACAAACAGTACAATAATCTAACAAGAGTTTTAACCACACATTCTAGCCATCTCCAGCTGTTTACAACTGTCTTCAACCAAGCACAAAAAGACAGCGTCTTAATCATTAAGCCCTCCAAAAAGCTACACATCTATCAGATCGACGCTGCACCAATGCTGTAGCATCCTGCTGTTTTAACAAAAACTCCCCATTAGCTTCATCCATGAGTACCAACAAGTCAACCACAATATTTAGCTTCATAATAACAAATGTATAAAGAAACAAATAAAAATGACTCAAAGTGGAAATGAAAAGAAACTATTCTAACTAATAAGACGTAAAACGAGTGCTTAATGGTCTCGCTCGCCCAAGAAATAACTGGTTTCGAAAGCTTAAAAGACCAATACGAGGAAGATCACGACTTTAAAGAAACATGGTCCAAATGCGGGAAAGGCATACCGGTGGACGATTACTACCTCAACGACGGGTATCTCTTTAAAGGTAATCAATTGTGTATTCCTAACTCTTCTCTACGTGAACAGTTGATTAGGGACTTTGAAAAGTCCAGATTTCATACGAATCTTGATGTAATCATCATAAAATCTCAAGAACAAAGATAAATGTAAGATAGATTGGAGAGAGAAAATTACTTGGCTGTCAAATCACCTTTTCAGAATTAATGATATAATCAATTGTGTGTAATTACAATTACAAAGGAAAGACTATTTATACTAAGGAAAATAAA